GTGTCAGTTGAAAGTTCAAGTGAAAGTTTTTAGTTCAACTGAAGTTTGAAGAATTTAACAAGGAAGGAGTCTTTTGGGGAGTCTTGGATACAGGGATTCATGAGCTGGTGGTTCATACATGTGATGGTCATCTTTCCTTTCATGGGTGTAAACTATGTAACAGTACTTGAAGGATTTATCTTCAGGTTGTGTAATTAGTGGCGCTATAAATTAGAGTTTACTAAAATACCATTATAGTTACAATTTAGAGTTGTTGAAACATGTTGGTGTGACCTCTTCCTCTCAATTTGGTTTTTTGTTTGTTTTGTTTTTAACTTTTATTGATTCTTTGTGGATTTCACATCATGCATTCCGATCCTACTTATCTGTCTCCTCACATCTGCCCTCCCCACCCCCAAATGAAAACCAAATGTAAAGGGAAAACCAAAGACCAAACAAAACAAAACAAAACAAAAGAGAAGAATCTTGTCTTGGAAGCTATAGTGTGGCCTGCTGAGTCACACAATTTACCCTTTAGTCCATTCATCTTTACTTGCAAGTGTTATAGCCACGAGTCATTGGTCTGACTCAAGGTCTCCACCACCAATTACGGGCTCTCCTTAGGGATCCTCTTGGATATCCTGTTGTCCTGTATCATGGAGACCCTGCTGTTTTGGATCTGTGGGTTCATGCTCCAACATGTTCATAGATTTGGTGGATGTTGGGGTGGGCCAACTCCTAGCCCAGGTTCTGGGCCTGGGTGGTAGCTGGGTTGGTCAGCCTGCCAGCTTTCCCTCATCATCACTACCTAGGCAAGTTCTCCAGCTCTATCTGGGCTAGCTCACCCATTGCAGCCTACAGCAAGGAATGGGGCCAGTTCTCCTGTTCTCAGGTCCTCATATTCGGGTACCCACATTCACATACCAGGGCCAGCTCTACAGTTTTGCCCAGGGAAGATGCCATGCCTGCTCTCCTGTGTGCTACAACTAGTATGGGGCAGGGCTAGCTCTCCCATTCTTGTGATTCCAGGGCCAGCTCTCCCACATGTGTCCCCAACCACAGGGTCAGCTCTAGTGTGGTGCCCAGGTGAGGTGCATGCCTAAGGTGAGAGGTAGGGCCATCTTTCCCCTGAGGGGTAAGGCCAGCTCCCCTGCTGCAAGGCCAGCCATCCCAGGGCCAGTGAAGGGAGGGGTTGGCTCAGCACAGCATTGTTTCACTGACTCCCGTGCTAACACAGTCCATGAACATCATCACCACAGACCCCAACAGCAGCAGGATCACGGACCTAAACAGGCAGTAGCCAGTGCCCGGATGTCTGTATGGCTCCAGGTGGTAGACCTGGCCACCCATATCAGCATGGTCCCGGGTGCAGCACAGTCCTTGGGACACCCTCATGGCCACAGGTTGCAGCCCAGAGCCCAGGCATCTATGTGGTGTTTGGTGGCAACATGGACCATAGAAATCAATATGGACCCTGGCTGTGGTAGGACCACAGACTCAGACATGGTGCTAGGAAGCAGCCTGGGGCCTGGAAGTCACCATGGTCCCAGGTGGCATCGTGGGCCACAAAGACCATCATGGCCCCTGCAGCAGCATGGTCCTCAGACACCAACATGGCCCCAGGTGGTAACGTAGACCAGAGGCTCCTGCACAACTGCCAGTGGCAAAGGGAGCCACAGACATCAACACAGAGCCCCCCTCGGCTGCTCCGGGGCCCTGGACCAAGACCTGGCCCAGACATTTCCTTGGACTTGGGTGGCCCGATGGCCATTTACATTAGCCTGTTCCTCACCACCCTCACCTATCCAGATCTGTCTCTCTCCCCAGCCCACCAACCATTCTGCCTCTCCGTCTCTCTCTCTCTCTTCTACCTCCCCACCTGGTACTCTCTCACCACAGTGGTGCCCAACCGCTCAGCACCAGGGCTCTTCATTGGGTCACAAGTGGCTCTTTTTTTAGTACTGTCCACCACCCCAGCTAAGGAATGGCTCAGAGCTGTTGTCTTTCCTCTTTTCCGAGCCCAGGCCTAGAAACCTAGGGCAGTGCCTGGTATGATGGTACCCTCTGGTGTCAGGCGGGCTCCTGGCTGATTTGCCCACCCCACCTCAGGTGGGGCCAGGTGGCTGCTGGCTATGCCCCCCCACACACACACTCAGACAAAAGTCTGGGAGGGTGCCATCTGTGTCCTCCGCCGATTCAGGCCCTGATGGCCTTGGTTTTTTGTTTGTTTTTTGTTTTGGGAGGGTTTGGGTTTTTTTTTTTTCAAGACAGGGTTTCTCTGTGTAGCTTTGGTGCCTGTCCTGGATCTCGCTCTGTAGACCAGGCTGGCCTCGAACTCACAGAGATCTGCCTTGTTTGGAAGGAGTCTGGTGGGAGATCTACCTCGGCTCCCTTCCCCATCTCTTTCCCCAAACCCACCCCTTCAAAGCCTGCCAAACACAGCTCCTCCCCTAGAGAGGCTCAAGACAAGAGGAGATATAAGCAACCCAGAAAACAGACTCATGGTCTGCTCTCTGGGGGGCAGGGAATTGCCCTGGAGCGTTTTACCCAATAAACCTGGGCTTTTCCTGATTCGATCTGATTCGGTTTGTTGCCACAGCCGAGAGGCCTTCAGAAGGCCTAAATCTTATCCCACCTGGCTCTGCCTTCGGAGTGCTGGGATTAAAGGCATGCGCCACCGCCCCGCCCTCAATTTGTTTTTAACTTTGAGTTGTTACCTTCAACTCAGATGTTTGGTTATGAAGTGAAAGCAGGTGGGTCTAAAGGTGACCTACGAAGTCGTCTCTCCCTAGAGTCCTAGTGGCTAAGAGTTTATACCACAAAACTTGTGCTTATGGCTGAAGGAAGAGAATGACGAATGAAGTCATCATGTAATCTACAAAATTCTTCTCTCCACACGCTTCCCTTCTTCTAATGGCGTGCTTGGGGGAAACAAATGTAGTGTCATTGATTCGGTGCCATTTGTCAATCTATTCCATGTGGATCTTTTTATATCTAAGAAAGCATTACCTAATACAAGGTCATAAGACTTGTAATCTAAGTTATTTTCTGTAAGTTTGAGTTTTTACATATTGGTATCTGCAGTTTCTTTAGTTAGTTTTGGAGTGGTGTGATACAAGTGGTTCATACAGATATTTAATTATTTACTCACATGTTGCTTAAAAGACTGTCATTCTGCCCACTTAATTACCTTCACAATCTTGTAAAAAGAAAATTGTCTACATATGTGTGAGTATAGTTTTTTATTCTTTCCTGATGCTAAATATCTAGGTTTAAATGTATTTGCAAACACAACTTCTATTTACAAATCGAGGAAAATGATAGCATTGACAACAATAAGGCCTAAAGTCAAGATTACTTTGAGGCAATCTAGAAGTATGCTTTCTGAACTAAATCTTGATTTTATCTACTCTCCATTCATATATTCAATTCCTAATCTCTAAGTGGTGTAACTTAGGGATAAAATATTTATAGGAATAACTTTAAGGCTATATCAGATCATTACTGTGAGATCTTAATCCATGAGGGTTGTGGCCATTAAAAGAGACACTAGAGAGCTCTCCACATGTGCAGAGAATAAACACTATATGAGAATACAGCCAAAATTACAAGTCAAACATGTGCAACTGGAGAGCCTGGAAACTAACCCTGATGGCAAAGGCAGAGAACATAGACCTCTGTCACGTAATCTTCCCAGTCTGTGGGGTTTCCTTAGAGCAGCCCAAGCATAGCAACACCGTGGGAGTTCAGGGACTTTAAAGAACTTAAGACAGGGAAAACTGAGTCCCTGTTGAGTGTGCTCACAGACCCTCCGTTCCACTAGTCTTTGATCAGATCTGACCAGATGAGCTCTCTAGCTTCTTCCTCCAATATTCCCACCCAGCAACTGTTGCCATCTTGCTCAAATACATACTCTTGAGTCTCAAGCAGAAATTGCAGCCACCATTGGGGGTCCACACTGGTAACTCTGCAACCTTGCAATGGAGAAAACTGAGGAGGCACCATAGCAGTTTCGTGGGGTATTATTATTACTATTATTATTATAAGTGGAGACACAATGCAATAAACATTTTCCTGGTTTTTAAATGAGGAGGTCTTGCATTTCTGCTTTGCAACAGGCCCGATAATCTATGCAGTAGTATCTGAAATCTTGTGTGTGGCCAGCCCTAGCTAGGGACTTTGAAGAAGCCAGTTTATTTTGATGTCAAGTTTTTTATGAAGGTAAGATTTTGGAGTTAATGTAAATCGTTTGGCCCAGGAATTCATCCACTGTAATGGTCACTACTAGAATGTGTAATTAATAATTGATCTAAATCAGAGTTCTCCTTTTACATTTCTTATGCCTATAGATCCAGTTCTTCAAAAAACAGTTCTTACAAGCAGTAACAATTGCTCCTCTTTTATTTCAAATATCCCATTTACCAAAACTCAGACTTTCCACATATTCACGCTTTGGCCAGTAGGAAACAAAAGGCTTTGAGGAGCTTTATAAAGATGTCCTTGAAAGAGCAAAAATCTTTACAAACGCTAGATTTTAGAATTCGGCAAAATCGGCAATTCAAGCCATGCCGGGCGGTGCTGGCCCAAGCCTTTAATCCCAGCACTCTGGAGGCAGAGCCAGGTGGATCTCTGTGAGTTCGAGGCCAGCCTGGTCTACAGAGCAAGATCTAGGACAGGCACCAAAACTACACAGAGAAACCCTGTCTCGAAAAAACCAAAAACAAACCAAAAAAGGCAATTCAAGTACTTGATCCGTTCAGGAAAACGTTCGCCTCTCCCCGCCCCTCCAAGGTCCTTCCAACTAAAACGGACCACAGCGGAACCATGAAGGTGGAAATAATTCTGCAAACATCAGCTAATACCACGCCCCCTGGAGCGCTCGCTCGCTCGCCTGGTTTCCAAGGAAACGCTCAATTCCGCCGGGGAGCCGGAAGTTGGCCAACTTCCGGTACTGCCGGAAGAGCCCGACTCATTATTCCCCCCCCCCCCAGGCGTCCGCGCGGTGGGCGGTGAGTTTTGGGCGGAAGAGGCCTCCGTCGGGGGGCGTGCCCACGCAGCCGCGGTGTGATCGCCGGCGCTCACGTGCCGGAGATGGCGGCCGACCCTGTGCCTCCGTCCGCAATGGCTCGGCCGGGAACTCTGAACCTCAATAACGAGGTGAGCGCCGCGGGCCGAGGCTGCGGGGTGTGGGGGATTGGAGGGTGGGCGCCCTCTCAGCCTCCGGCGGGGGTGCGGGGCTCCGGGAAGGCGGAGAGCGGCCGCCGAGGACCCGTGGCGGCGGCCGGAGAGACGGGAGCCACGCGCGGCGGGTCGGGTGCCGGGTCTCAGGCTCCGCACACGTCCGTCCGGGCGACGGTCCGGAGGTGCCTCGGTGTGCCGTCCCCTTTCATTGTCCTCCGTCAAGTGGGACGTTGATCAACCGTAGTCCCTGCCTCACTCATCAGGGTTGTAAGATTTCGATTGACCGAGCTTGAGTAAAGCCTGGCCCCGAGGAAGCGCTTGGAAAACCTGCTTTTTCTTGATGGTCACAAAGGAAGGGAGGAGGTTTGAAACTGCAGCACAGTTGGTCTCTACCAGTTAACAGATCTTGGGTGACCGGGCACGCACGCCCGACACCTCGTTTCTTTCCTCCTGGGACTGCCGGTCCCGTGTGCCCGTGTCCCTTACCGCTCAACGCCAAGAGCTGTTTGTGTACCCGCTGTCCCCAATTTCTGTCCCTGGTTTCGTGCTCAATTCCAGTCTCACACAACCACCTCCGCTGTCGTGTGTTAGCCATGCCAGGCCACCGTGAGTTTTCAGTATATGCTGTTCCCCACGGTTATATGGCATCCTAAAAATAAGCTTTGGAGAGCAACGGACACCTCACGGCTACTAGCGTGAAAAGAGCTCCTTACCCTGAGTGTCGTGTATATGCAGGTCACCTTTTCAAATACACGGCTGTGTAGGATGTTTCTCGTGTGTTTTTCTTCTCCAGTAACCTATGATAGAGAATAGACGAAGATCCTCGCTCGCCCCTCCAAATAATAGTGAAGAAGTTTTTTTGAAGGAGGCAAAGTCAGATGTGTGATACAGTCCTTAATTTTTTTGGTTTTTGGAGACAGGGTTTCTCTGTGTAGCTTTGCGCCTTTCCTGGAACTCACTTGGTAGCCCAGGCTGGCCTTGAACTCACAGAGATCCACCTGGCTCTGCCTCCAGAGTACTGGGATTAAAGGCCTGCGCCACCACCGCCTGGCAAGTCCTTAATCTTTGAGGATCCTATACAGGAAGTAATTCTGTATTGTATCTGAAGGCCCTGCAGGAATAGGGACTGACTCTTCTAAGCAGAAAAGGGTTGGTGGTAGGAAACTGAATCATAAAGGGCTAGAAAACGTTCTCTGGTGAGAATTAACAAATAGGTCACTGTCTTATGCCAGATTAAATCTTCATTCAGTAGGCAGTGGGGTACAAGGTATCAAGGTATCAAAGAGGGAGAAACAAGGTATTTCTAATTTACTGACTTGTTTTGTTTTGGGTTTTTTTTTTGTTTTTGTTTTTGTTTTACTCATTTAAACTTGTATTTTGTGGAAGAAAACTGTTGGTGGGGTGTTTTTTATTGTATATATGAACTGTGAAAGATCTTAATTGTCCTTGGAAGTTCACAGAAAGGGTAGGTTTTCATCCAGTTTTGATTTCAAGGGTCATAATGTCAGGGAATCAGTCACGTAATGTTGCTTTTCTACTTCAGTCCTTTTCAAAATTCCTAAATATGATCTTTAGAAAGAATTCACTAATTGACTTTAACCAGAATGCTTCCCGTAATGTAACCACCTGTTTCTGTCATGTGTGCATGTGGGATGTCCCCTGGAACATACATGGGCTATAAATGTTTTCTGGATGACTGGATGAATTTATCAAATTAGAAATTACACATATCCCAAATTTAAATTTAATGTGTTCTTATAGATAGAGGATAAAGAGGACAGCAAATAGTGGAGATGTTGATGTTATCATTAAGGTCAAAATAAGAATGCAAATGCAGTCATGAATCACTTAATGGAAACAGGTTCTAAAATACATGGCATTAGGTAATTTTGTCCTTGAACCACAAAAACCTAAATGACTGTGACATCACTATTACTTGGTGATGAATTACTATGGGAGCACTGTCCTGTGCATGTCCCTTTAAAATTTATGTGGCGCATGACAATATAGATTGATCTACATAAAAGTCAGAAGCATAAGAAAAGGAGGGATAAAGATGACTGCCTAGAAAAAGCTCGTCAGACAGGACATTTTTTCCTAGAAATTTGGCAACAGCTTCCCCAAAGAGGAGGCATATCTGAAAGGTTCAAACTCCCTGTCACACCTGTTCCACAGAGAGCGGGTCTGCTCTCTCCTGGCTACTGAAGTGGACACTGTCGTTCTTGTTTGATCATCCTACTGTTGCTGTTGAGTTCTTTGTTCAGCACAGATTTAATTGGGTCATTTCCTTGTTTTAAATCCTGGGACTTGCTTTTGAATAAAATTGAGCAACATGAGGGCAGCCTGTCCCCCTTCTGTTTTATCCTATCCTGGCAGTCCATGCACTCAGCTGCATTGGCTTCCTTCCAGCCTTGCTATAGGTCCTTCATACATACTTCTAATCTAGAATTTACTCTCTGTAGTCCTACTTACAACTTTCTTAAGAAACCCAGTGCTAGCTTTTATTTTTGTGTAAGTTCTGGAAGCACCCCTTAATTCTTATCAGTGTTTATAATAGCATTTACATGGGAGTGTATGTGTAGAGATTTCATGTCCCTTCTACCTGTCTTTATATTTTTGCTTATCATACTCTCAGTGTATATTTTGTAAATGTCTCTCATCTTTTTTTTAAAGATTTGTTTATTTTATGTAGGAGGGAGGATAGGCCACATTCCTGCCACAGTTCACATGTGGAAATCAGACCACTGTGGTCCTAGGGGTGGAACTCAATTGTCAGGCTTGGAGTCTCAATATCTTAAATAGCTCATCCTCAGTTGGTTCAGGGAATGGTTTTGATTTCCTGTATTTGATGTGTGTGTGGTTGTGGTGAAGACTCTAGGGTAAATTAATTGCTTTTTTGGTACACTTATATCAAGTTTGCAAAGATTATAAACCTCTGGTTTTGTCTTTGAGGTAATGATAAACATAGCTGTGATTTGATTAGTAACCCTTGTTTTATAATTTTGATTTTTTTTAAGGTATATGGTGGTCTGAATATATAGCTCAGTGGTAGAATGCTTGCCTAGCATGCACAGGGCCCTGGGTTCAATCACCAGTACTGCCAAAATAAATGAATAAAGTCTAGTATTGAATTAATTTATTTAATTTTATGAGTTTTATAATATATAATTTTACAACATATTCAATAATGTCTTGTAAAAAGTGAAGCCTTCCAAAAATTGTGTTGAAATGAGAGGAAAAAAGAAATCTCCAAAATTTTTACCATTTTTTTCCTCCCATCTCATTAGAACTAGAGAAGCAGGGATGCACAGTTGAAAGTGTCTATGCTATGACATAGTGAATACAGAATTTGTAGAACTATTCTATTCATCTCTTTCCTCAGTCGAAGGGGTGTCTGTGTCTGTGTGTGTCTGTGTGTGTGTGTGTGTGAGAGAGAGAGAGAGAGAGAGAGAGAGAGAGAGAGAGAGAGAGAGAGATTGGGGTTGGGTGTAGCTGGAGTTTTCTCCAGCCTGGCCCACAAGTCAGGACAAATCTCTCTCACCTGCCAGTCCCGCAGCTGCTCAGACCCAACTGAGTAAACACACAGAGACTTAATATTGCTTACAAACTGTATGGCCACAGCAGGCTTCTTGTTATCCAGATCTTATATCTTAAATTAACCCATTTCTATTAGTCTATATAAGTTGCCATGTGGCTTGTGGCTTACTGGTACCCTACATCTTGCTTGTCCTGGGGCGGCTGGCAGTGTCTCTCTCAGCCCTCCACTTCCCAGAATTCTCTCTCCTTGTACCGCCTATACTTCCTGCCTGGCTACTGGCCAATCAGTGTTTTATTTATTAACCAATCAGAGCAACACATTTAACATACAGAACATCCCACAGCAGTTGGGGTATGGCTGTCTGATGGAATACTTATGCTTCCCATTGAAGCATCATGAAACTCCCTAGAAAAAAAAGTGATGTAATTTTACAATATGATATAAAATAATATGTCCATTAAATTTCTTTTAAGCTACTACTGTAAAGTGAGCTCCTCCATCTGTGGTTTTGATTTTTATTGTTTTGATTATCTGAGATAACTGCAGTTAGAAGATATAGTTGAAAACGTTCAGAAGTAATTTGTAAGTTTTGAGTTCACAAGTGCTATTAAGAGCAACATATGAAGCCATGTGCTATTCTGTCCACGTTTAACTTACCCCTTACTCTAGGGTACCTTCATTATCCATGCTACCACTCATTAGTCCCTGAGTTCTCAGTCCTCAGATTGACCGTCAGGGTACCACAGTGCACATGACCCATGTTTAATAGTGACCATGATATAGAAATTTTCATTATGGCATGTTACTATTGATGTGTTTTAATTTATTTTTTAATTTTTGCATCTATTTTACAAGTAAAAAAAATACGTGTGTGTGTGTGTGTGTGTGTGTGTGTGTCATCATACCTAGAGGATTTTGAGTTACCTGTGGTTTCAGACCTCTACTTTGGGTATCAGAAAATATTCCCCTTGAAGGAAGGAACTGTTGTAAGGATAGATGCTAAATGCCTAACAATGCATTTTTTTCTTCTGTGTATTATGAATAATAAGAATATCAAAAAATATGTTTGTATGTATATATGAAGTTACAAAATTTTATACCATAGTTGCATTGTATGTGGAAATTTTTGAAGTGGTAAATGTGCTCTTCTTAAAGAGACCACCAGCTTGTTCGCTTGTTAGCTGTTCCCATGAGCTTTGCTAGGTGGCAGCATAAGCTTGGTAGTGGCCAAATGACAGGCAGCCACTCGTCATTTCAGTTTTTAGAAATTCTGGTTGATCCAAAATAATTCAACAGTAAGTTATAATCTAAATGACCCACCTAGAGTTTTCTTAGAAAGGCATAATAAGATCCATAACTGTGAAATACTTGAAGTACCCAGAAAGAGATAGAATATATGTCCTTGTAACCTACTTTTATTTAAGAGTTCTGCTGCATCAGACTTAAAACACCAGCTTTTTTTTTCTAGCTTGGAAGTGATTATTATTAGTGTAGTTTTTCTCACCTATATGTCTCATTCTTTTGTACCACCTTTATACCTAGTGTATAGTATTGATAAATATTTTTAAGCTTTGCATCTGTGATACTACATTGTAGAAATGTGTATGTCCTTTTTGTGTACTCTTTATACATACTGTATCTTATGAAACATTTTCTAATGTATGGAGCATGGAAAGCGTTGTGTGTGTGTGATCCTTTATTGTTGAAACAGGCCTTTTAGACTCTCAGATGGAGGATTTTTATTATAGATTACCAAAATTTCCTCCATAAGGACTATAGAAGTTGCCTTTTCTACCAGCAGTTTATGAGCATACTTGTTTTACCATAACCTTGTGATCAATGTTTTATGATTTTGTATATCCAGGAGTGAATAAGCAGAAGTTGTAATATATTAAACACACACACACACACACACACACACACACACACACACACACACACACAGATAAACTCAGCTTTTCCTAATAACCATCAGTTTTGTTAAAGGTTAGTCTGGTTCAAGTACATAACAAAGCAATGCATTACTTGAGTGTTAGCTAATTTACTAGATAGCAGATAGTCTGCAAGAGTCACTTCAAACCACTGGATTTTGTCTACAGACCATAGTATCAAAAACTTGTCATTGTGAATCCCAGGATATAGCTCTTTTTCTTACAAGTAAATTGTCACTAAATGCTAGCTTACAAGAGATAGTATAGATGAGTAAAGTGATTCATTAAGGAATGTTTGGAATCCAGAGAGGATGTTCACATTGTAAAACATTGCTCAAGGGTCTGCTGATCATCACCAGCAATGGAATGTTGGACTGCAGAAAGGACTTGGTATAGCTAGACAACCCTTTGGTCAGAATGTCCTTCCTTTCATGGTCAGCTTTTGCTTGTTTGTGGTTCCTTTTCTTCATGTCTCATCTTTGAGTTGGCCTTTTCAGTGAGAATGGTAGGTTTTGACTTTATTGTATTGTTTTGTTAATTATCCAAGAAGTGGTGCAGGTTACCTAAATTCCAGGTGGACCTCACTGCCAGCACAGGTACTCTGCAGTGTGAACTTGGAATCTTTTAATGGATTATTTTGAATGCTTTCTTTTGCTGCTTGAAATCATCAGTCTGAGAAATGATGAGCTAGAGTTTTACTTCAGTTTCTCTCTTCAAGCTCTTTATACTTGTTTTTTATTTTGTTTCCACTATTTTACCTAATATCTTCTCTCTCATACCCAAACAACATTGTAGTGTAACTATCTTTGTGTGGATTGGGGGTTGGTTAGAGTAGTTTGTTCACTCATGTTCTGTGTGTGTGTGTGTGTCTTGGTTGCAGTGAACTTTATTGATGGTATTCAAGAAAGTGGGGCTCTCTGAGCCCCTCCCCTTCTTTGGGGACTCTGGGATGGAAACTGAGGGAAATGCTCAGTGTCAGGGCCTGAGTTGGGACAGGGACTTATCAACAACTGTAGGCTTCTCTCTTGCTCTTGTGTCCTTTCTGAGGTGGGTGGTCCATGTAGGCCATGAGGTTCACCACTCGGTTGCTATAACCATATTCATTGTCATACTAGGAAATGAGCTTTGCAAAGTTGTCATTGAGAGCAGTGCCAGCCCCAGCATCAAAGGTGGAAGAGTGGGTGTCACTATTGAAGTCCCAGGAGACAACTCAGTCCTCACTGTAGCCCCGATGCCCTCGAGTGGGCCCTAGGACTCCTGCTTCACCCCTTAGGTCATCATACTTGGCAGCTTTCTCCAGGCTGCATGTCAGCTCCACGATGGACACATTGAGAGTAGGAACACGAAACGTCATGCCAATGAGCTTCCCATTCAACTCTAGGATGACTTTGCTCACATCCTTGGCAGCACCAATGGATTTAGGGATGATGTTCTGGGCAGCCCTACGGTCATCACACAACAGCTTACCAGAGGGTTCATCCATAGCCTTCTGGGTGGCAGTGATGTGATGGCATGGACTGTAGTCATGAGTTCTTCCACAATGCCAAAGTTATTATGGATGAACTTGGCCAGGGGTGCTAAGCAGTTGGTGATACAAGGAGCATTGCTGACAATTTTAAGTGAGCTGTTATACTTCTCATGGTTCATACCCATCATAAACACAGGAGTGTTAGCAGAAGGGGCAGAGATGATGACCCTTTTGTCCCTACCCTTCAAGTGGGCTCTGGCCTTCTTTATGGTAGTAAAGATACCAGTAGACTCTACAACATAGTTAGCACCAGCATCACCCCATTTGATGTTGGCAGGATCTTGCTCCTGGAAGATGGCCATGGCCATTCTGTTGATGACAAGCTTCCTGTTATGAGTCTTGACTATGCCATTGAACTTGTCATGGGTAGAGTTATACTGGAACATGTAGACCGTGTAGTTGAGATCAATGAAAGGGTCTTTTATGGCAGTAATAAGTGGTATATTATCATTTCATAAGCCTGCAAGGTTAAGCACCTAGGAATGTTTAGTAATGTTTTAATTTATAAATTGCCACATGGTAGTACTTTTTTGATAAATGACTTAATTTTATAATATATCATAACCTATTATGATTCTGTTTCTCAATTTTTAGTTTGTGTTGTTTTTTGAAATTGTCTCATTCTGTAGCCCAGGCTTGCTTCATACTAAGCATGCAGTACAAGCTGTCCTCAGATTTGTGGTGGTTTTCCATTCACTGCATCCCAAACATTGGGATTACAGATGTAAGCCACAATGCCTACCGTCTGCTCCTGAGACTTGATGTTCATGGATAGCGGGCCGTGTGTGTGTGTGTGTGTGTGTGTGTGTGTGTGTGTGTGTGTGTGTGTGTGTGTTTTCTCAAAGAAAAACTTAATAGAAAAACAAGAAAATTTCAAAGATGTTGCTACATTCTAATGGCAAAGAATGTGATTGTGTTCTTTTAATATAGTATGCATCTAAAGTAGTGAGTGAGCAAAAGTGTGCTGTGTTTTTGGTTGTTTAGAAGCTATCTGTTGAACATGTTCTGTATGCCATGTACTATTTTGAATGTTTAGAACTAATGTTGAATAAAGTAAGATTCTTGACTTTCATGGAATTTATCTGGAGGAAGACACATTAAACATAATTGGATTAAAAATAAAATATTAAGATTCTTGTGGTAAATTGTAGAGATACCCTTTAATTGTAATAATAGGAAATGTGTGACCTTCAGCAATGATGTTGAGCAATTAGGAAGAATGGATATTAACAAGCTCGTGGGAAGACACCTTCCTATCTCAAGTAAAAGCTATGATGGTAAATGTGAGCATGCTAAGGTCAAAGACTAAGAGAAAGCCTGAAGCATCCAAACAGTGCCCTGAAACTCTTGAAGGAATGTAAAGGTGTGGTTTCAAAAATGATAAAGATGACCTTTGATCTTAGAGGTCAAAGGGATTTCTCATAGAAAACCATAATTTAGTATGCTCCAATCCCAACAGGTATAACAGTGAAATGCTAATTGCTGGAAATGCTGTGGCTTTAAAAGTAGAATCCCAAGTTCCTTTAATCCCTGGCACATACATTTTCAGCCTTGTATTTATTCCTACACTGTTCATGGAGGCAGTTTAATTGCGTCGATCTGAGCGTGTTAAGCACAGCCATGGTTAAACTGTAGGCTTAAGTGTGTACTAGCATTCAGAGTGTCTGTGTCTCCATTAAGGATCTTTCTCCTTTTGTCTTTTTCCTCGAAGGTTGTGAAGATGAGGAAAGAGGTGAAGCGAGTCCGAGTGCTGGTCATCCGAAAACTCGTACGGAGTGTTGGCAGACTCAAGTCCAAAAAGTTAGTTGTGGGAAGTGATCGCCCATCCTGTAGCTGATAAAGTGTCAGAAATGTTTTCATGTTTATAAGCTAGAGCAATGAGGATGCGTTCAGAACTGGAGTTTTCTGTATAGATAGGATATAGGTGGGAGAGAATGAGCTGTGTCAGCGTGCCCTTGTAGGTTTTGAACCTTTTTTGCTTAAGATGCAGAGTGATTTCTTCCATTTTGCCATTTTTTAAGAAAGTTCTCCCTTTCTGCTTTTCAAAATTAAGTTGCCTTCAGGTTCCTTATGTGTTTTATGTAACTAGAAGTCATTTCAAGGTGTTAGTAAGTCTGAGATGCCTACTTTGAGTCAGTTATGACTTTATTTCATCAGCCTTTCTCGGTCTTAGTATTTTGAAATTTTCATGATCTTGTGGGAGTATTTGTCAGTTTGTTATATGCTGTGTGATATTTTTTAGTAAAAAAAAAAAATTTGTATTTCCAGTATCAGTTGTGCTAATGAAAAACAATTTAACAGTTCTTAGGGTTTAAACACAAGAATTTAGAAAACCTTCAAATTTGTGGTTTTCTATTTGTTCATAAATGTCCCAGAAGATAACCTCCCTTCTAATTAGATATTGAATATCTTTTTCTTTAATTCCAGAGAACAATTTTTCAATTAATAACAGTGCCTCCAGTCTTTAACTGTGTCCTAGGAGGCTTTTATTACGGTAGTAGTGTTTTTGATCACAGAGTATAACAGACCTTGCCATTGAAAGACTAGAGAAAAGCTGCCCACCAGTCAGGCTAGTGTGCGTCCTGTCGTTTCCAGCGCAGTGACCGCAGGTGTGATGCAGTGAGTGAGAACGGCAGGGTGGGCTGGAGTGCTCGTCACCCACGTCTTCTCAGAAACTTAAAATGCTGCTCACCATGACCTGGCTCTAAAACTAATGTTCCTCTTGGTAATAACTGTCTTTTTACAGGGGCACTGAAGACGCACTCTTGAAAAACCAAAGACGAGCCCAAAGGTTGCTTGAAGAAATCCACGCCATGAAGGTAAGGTGTGTGAGTGTGCACTGTGTGCTGTTTCTCCTGGCTGCTTGTGTGCATGGTGCCTCTTTAAGGATTCCTAGGTTGCTCAAGGCTTTTTTATGTGGCTCAGCTTGGTGATGAGCGTCACGTTTGCAGAACTGCAATATGTGTGAGTGTGCATATTTCCCTGTTTTTTAAGTACTAGATTCATTTGAGTTGAAACTGCCAAACTAAACTCATTTGTGTTTTATAGTGCCTCATGTCTACGGCTTTTATTTTTACCATTACTTAGGCATGTATTCTAGACTAAGGTCACTAGTTAAAGGGTTTGTGCTATTTGGAAATGGGGATGGTGATGCTGGTGGTTGACATCATGCTTCTCCTGCTGCCAACTCAATAAATTTTTATGTAGTGGTGTCAGCAGTTTATTAGGTTCTGTAGAACTTAAAATAAATGTCGTGTTGGACCAACATGGTCCATAGTGTTGTCTTTTAAGCCAGACTCTTCACTAACATAATTTTTAGGTCTTTTCACTGCCCTTTCTTTGTGGAAACTTTCATTTACAAAATGACATACCATTAAATGTCTGGAAGTCTTTTATTGCTGAACTTAAAAACAACATTTGGTACCAGCAATTATCTTAATTGCAGGGTAATTTTGTGTGTATATTTGACTTTTGTAATTGGGTATGACTTCCAAGTTTGAGTTAGATAAAAGAGTAAAAGAATTATTTAACAATATTTTAATTGAGTTAAATTATCAATGCTTTTCACTCTCCCTTTTTCAGGAATAGGAAGGTGTTGAGTAGGGTATTCCAGTCAGTACAGAGACAGGTGAGGGAAATGGTCTTTGGTGGGAAGCATATTTATTGGTATTTGTGACTCCTCCTGTAGGACTGTCAGATATGCAACATCCACTTGATAGATCTTTTCCTGTGGTTTCTTCTAAGGATCAGTCTTTGTAATTTGAACCACTAGATAACTGCTGATTTCACTGTAAGGATTTGGAGTTTGGTAACCATCGACTCCTTCATCTTGTAACTCTCGATAATACGCTTTTGTTAGTTAGCAAGTGGTCTCTGTACTATAGGTGAAGCTCGTTGTCTGTTCTTTAGTTTCATCAGCAGGAAAGTCAGGCCTGTTGCTAGAGACCTTTACAAGGTTACTACCTCTCTCTTCCCCACTGCATGAGAGCACTTACTGTTAGCCCAGAGAGCCACAGTTTACTGGCTGTGTGTTGAATTCATCACTTTATAGTATACGTATGTGAATTCCTGGTGGGCATTAGGGTATTCTGGGTTGGCTAATCTGACTTTTACCTTGTTTCTCTTGTTTTTTAATCTCTTTCTCTATTGACTTTAACATGGCATTATATTTTAATGTAAAAATTCAGACTAGGAATACTAGATCAACTACATGTTTACTTAGCTAAAGTATTTAGTTTCATTTCTGATCCATGGTACTTTTACAGAATCAGCCTTTTCTGAAAGAAGTAAATATACTTAGCATTTTTTTCAATTGAAAGATCATTCATAATTTTGTAAGGAAATATTTTTCATACATATGGGAGTATCAAAGAAATAGCCACAAAACAGTAGATTCACAGTCACAATTAAATTTGGAGGAGAACCTCTACTTACTATTTTTCCAGATGGGTTTTTTTCTTTGGTTCATATACCACTAGACTTTTATAAATGTGCTCATGACATACTCTCTTTACTTGCTTGCCATGATAATAGGGTATTTTGTTGCAAGATGCCATCCTCATGAAGAAAACCCCATATATTTTTAGAAATGGGAGTAGTTTCCTTTTGGCCATGGGGGAGGGTACAGGCACCAGATCTTTATGATTCTATAAAATGATAGGTTCTAATTTTATATACTGTAAGTATAAGCCCCATCTCTGATGCTGTTTCTAATGGTATTCGGGCTCTTAAAGTGTTACTGTACATACTGGCTTCTGAAACAAGTTCCTTCTCATTGAGAGGCAGCTTATCAACTTAAAGATCCCCAGGTTACTTATCTGGAGACTAAAAAGACAAAACTGAAGCAAGCGAATACAACAGACTTGACTTTTTATGTGGATTCTGGGGACTGAACTCAGATCTTCATATTTACCCAGCAACATCACCTACTAAACTGTCTCGCCATCCCTGACACCTTACTCTTTACAGTATTGGTTCTAAGAAACCTTTTCTGATACTACCATTTTCATTCCAGAACTGATCATCCTCTCAGTACAGCTCATTCTGTTTCTACTGTGGTCTGTGATATGGCATTCCTACTAATAGTTAGGGAGGGTGTCTTAGGCTATTGAGTCAGCTTACTCAGCTAATTCTCCAAACATGGAGTGATCTGTTTGGCATATGGATGGTTGAGTGACCTAACGCAGCATTTTTTACTATATTTATAGTACTGGGATTATTCTGAATCCCTAGACATAAGTAAAATGATGCTAAACTATTACTAAAAGGATCTTGAAGTTGAGTTTTGTTTTATTATTTATTAGTGTTAAGTGTCAGAAACATAAAGATAAAAAAAGCTAGCTCTTCATTGTATAAAGCCACCTTAGTCAGCACCCTAAGGCCATATATATAACTTTGTGTTTTTGCAATATTATTTGTGTGTTCTTGCATGTGTGAGTACATGGCAGATGCGTGGAGGTCAGAGACCACTGGACCTCGTGTTTCTCCGTGATGTAGTCAAGGGGGTGGAACTAAAGTCTTCAGACTTGGTGGTGTCTTGACCTGCTGACCCATCTCACTAGCCCCTATTTCCTTTGTTCAAATGCAGAACTTTTCTTCCTAAAGTGGAACAAGATCCCCAAGGTCTTGTGACCTTTGAGATGATGAACAAGCAATCTTGGTGGTGTGTGCAGAGATCAGTATATACTGCCCCTCTCGTACTCAGGAAACACCATTTAAAAACTAGTTTTTAAGTACCCAGTTTGCTTTCTGGAATGTAATTTCTTTAGCTACAAGTCTGAGCTTTGAATAGGCCATATTCCTGACCCCTTAATATTGTTTCATTGTAGGTCCTGTATTGTAAACATTATGTCAAGCATATGGTGGCCTTACCTTACTCTTCTAAATACAAGCAGATGTTTCAAATGTAAGTGGTGTCTGTCTTCTGAAACTTCCTACCTAGGGGGGGCAAACAGACCAGGCTGCAGAGTGAGTTAGTAAACGTTAAATGCTCTTACTGATTAGGTTACAGTGCACACCAAGGTTTTGGAGTAAAGAACTGATTCTGGAATTGATCCATCCAAATAAACCTTCCTCTCAACTTAGTAGGTACAAAAGATTTAGGAGTAGAAAGTGCTGGGTGTGGGATGAGGGGGAGGGTGTTGTTTTTATTTAATTTTTCAAGTTTTGTAATTCTGGAAACATGAACTTTTCACCCTGTCAGGATATTTCCTAAGAACCATGAAAGTATCCAAAGCACTTTCAACCATTCATGTAAAAAATCTGAACAAGCAATACTGTCATAACTCCAGTAAGATATAATGGGTACTGGAAAGGAAGAAAATGTTACCAGCATATTTTGTAGGAAACAGCAGTAGAATATAGAGGGCCCTCAAGAAAGCAGCAATGAGTTCAACTCCTGTAAATGGGCATGAACTCAGTTTGTGGATGAAATGGAAACAGGTTTTTTCATTGCTTCTGTATACTTTAAGCTTAATTTTTTTAAGTTTTGTTGACTTTGATTTTTCCTGCATGGGGGTGTTTTGCCTGCGTGTAAGTGTGCCTAGAACTCACTGCTCGGACATGGCAGCAAAGCCCTAGGGACTTGACTTGTGAGCTAAAGGATGTGCGATGGGACCCAAGCCCATGTCCTCTACAAGAGCAGGAAGTGCTGCTGACCACTGAGCCCTCTCTCCGTTCCCCTAAACTGATCTTTTAAATTATATATTGTAGCATAAGACTTTTTTTCAGGAAAGTACACTATGTATTTAGTGCATATTATTCCCTGTGAGTCTCTTAAAATCCCTCTTTTCGTCTTTTCCCCTTCCATTTATTACCTTTGTTCCCCAGACAATTCTGCTTCTGCTCTCAAGTGTCATCAATACATATGTGACTTTATGTATCTCTGAATTTTAGGATTCACAAGTAAGAAAAAGCATGCAATATTGAGACAAATTAATTTCAAATATTTATATGCATCAACTTGAACATATAACTGTTGAATTTTTATGATGAAAACCATGTGCTTCTGGTTTTTCTGTATGTTAGAGCACATCCGTTCTTTGCACATGAAATTAATATTTTATGATAGCAAGAGAAGCTCATTAATGTATGTTTTCCTTGAATATGAAAACTTACAGGTTCAATTCCCAGCGCCCATATGGCCGCTGTAAGTAATATCCAGCCATCTTTAACTCCAGTTCTAGGGGCTCTGGCACCCTCTGCTGGCCTAAATGGGCATGCATGCACATGATTTCAAATTTTGTAATTCTGAAAATGGGAAATTTTCCCTCTGTCAGGATGTTTCCTAATAACCATGAAAGTACCCAAAGCACTTTTAACTGTTAATGCAGAAAGTTTGCCTGCAGGCAAAACACCCATACACATAAAAATAAATAAATCTTTAAAAGAATAAAATAAAAATTTGGGGGGAATTGCTCCAATTTTTAATTATTCTTGGCAGTTTCTAGTAAAGTAGTAGATATCTCCTTTATATGCTCCCCTTTTCCTTTCTAAAGCAGCTAAACTCTGTTTAATCTATCGTTTTTATGTGGGGTGAATTAGGGAGCAAAACTTGCTTTCTTAAATCCTCAAAACTGTTGAACTATGTTATAGAATTTGCAGGTTTGGGAAACATTTGCTCTTCTGCTCATCACAGTCTAAGAAAGCATCCTCGTTTTTAATAATCATGTCTGATTAGTCATAAAACTGATAACTTTAAAATAAAATGAAAAAATAGGAAAGTTCTTTAAATTCCGTATTATATGTGCAGGTTTTGTACATTTTAGTTTAAAACTGTGTGTGTGTGTGTGTGTGTGTGTGTGTGTGTGTGTGTGTGTGTGTGTGTGTGTGTAGAGTAGATTTCTAATTTTGCTGTCATATTATACTGTTCTGTTGGAAACAAACATAATTAAAGAGGTGCTCACATCTAGGAAAACAATTGGTTGGTGTAGTGTCTGACTTGATTTTAGGAAGATGCCACAGAGTGAAGACACTACACTAACTTAGAACTAGAAAAGTAAATCTGAACTACTGGAGATCCATCCGTGTTGTAAGTGGAGTGCACTGCAGACCAGGTAGACGGATAGTAAACGTGTGGTGGGCATGGGCTTTTCAGCACTGTGGTTCTGTGCTCTGAACCTTACACCGCACTCTGCGATCACAGTTTTTGTTGTTTGCTTGTCTCGGTTTCCTTCAGAATTGATGTTGTCCTTGTGTCTCATTGTTTAGTTTCCATCTCAGTTCCTTGATTGTAGCATAGCACAGACGGTTAATGTGTCTCTAGTGAATTGTCTCATTGCTGGATCTGGAATGAATGGAGATGTGAAGGTCTAAGTAGTGACTAAAATTGCAGGTGGCGTTCCATTTTAAAGCCTTTTTTAAAAATATAAACACATCGAAGCTTTTTTGAGCAATTGTGTTTTTTAAAATGATGGAACTGAAAACAGAGTAGAGGAGTGACTGGCTAGAAGAGAGTAGATTGGATTAATACTGTGTAAAGAGACAGTGGTTAATGGATCTATCTATGTAGAACAGATATTTATTAAGCATTGTTTTTCCATGTATGGTCCATGACTACTTCAGGTATCTACTGGCTTAGTAAGGTTTCTGTTGTAAAACACCGTGACCAAAAGCATCTTTGGAAGGAGTTATTTCACAGCCACATCACAGTCTATCATCAGAGGAAGTCAGGGCAGGAGCCTGGAGATAGGAAGGAACTGATGAAGAGGCCATAGAGGACCATTGCTTACCGGTGTGTTCCTGTGGATTGTTCAGCCTGCCTTCTCACTGCACCTAGGACCACCAGCCCAAGTGTGGTACTGCCCACAGGCCACTCTGGGAGCATTTTATCTATTGAGATTATTCCTTTGAAATGATGCTAGCTGTGTGAAGTCGCCGTAAAACTACCCAGTACAGTTGGCCCCTGTCATCTTCACACACAAACACATCACTATTTAGTAGAACCTTTCCTTTCTCATTTATCCTTAAGATAGATATAAAGTTGATATAAAACTCAAATAACTTATAAAGTCCCATGGTCTTCAAAAGTCTCTTTAAAACACACAGAGTCTCTCTAAAATTCCAGTCTCTGGGCTCCTGTAAAATCAAAAATAAGTATAAATACTTTCTTATTTCAAAGGCAGGAACCTAGGGCACCAGGTTTGTGCTGCTGTTCTTGACAATTGTCTCAGGACACTGGTGACCCTACACTGCTGGGGTCTTCTGCTGCTACTGGGCTGCACTTTGACCAGTAGCCTCTGCTGGTCTCCTTGGGGACTCTGTCATGGGGTGGTATGTGCATATGAGTTCGATTTCCTGAAGAGGCCAGAGATACCAGTCAGATTCCCCTGGAGCTGGAGGTGCAGGCAGATCTGATAGAGGTGTTGGGAATCAAACTCTGGTCTTCAGGGAAAAGAATATGTGCTCTTAACCACTAAGCTGTCTCCGATGAATATGAGTGTTTGGGATACAAATGTGTGTGTGCACTTCTGTCCTGGTACCTTTGAAGGACAGAAGAGGGCACTGTGTCCCTGGAACTGGAATAACAGATGATTGTGAGCTGCCATGGGATGCTGGGAATTGAACCTAGGTCCTCTGGATAATCTCTCTTTTTATAGTCTATCCATTTTAATGGCATCCTTTGGGCTTCTGCCACTTTACCTTATGTATAAGATAATGATCTCTACAACTTCCCTCTTTTCCCAGTTGCAATTTTTCTTTGTAGTCAAAATAATAAGGTTTATCTGCTGTGGTTTATTTCTGTATCCCTGCGGTTATTCCTAACTGCAGATTCATACTTACCCACGAGTAATGGTAGTAAAGGTAAACCTCCCAGGCTGAAGTTCATCTATTAGAATACCCTTTTACAGCGGGTCATGTATACAGTGTTCCTTGGGTTTCTGCAAGTTCAAAACTGTTATTTATTTTTGATTGTATTTACTTTTGTAGACTTGCTATTTAAAGACTTTCTGACTACATGTGAATCTTTGGGTTGCGGATTATAGTCCTTGAAAATGTACTAACCTGGTATTGTGTGTTGCTGTAAGGGGAATGGACATGACACTTAAAGGCATTGGTTGTAGCTTTTCTAGTATATGGTAATTTCTTAACTGTGGTAGATATTTCTTGTCTAGAAGTTAGCATTTTAAATATCAAGTTTCTTAAATCAAGACACAAAAGGAATTTAAATCACAATGCTCATAGATTAACTAGAATTGATGTTTTCTTTTACAGGAATTGAAACCTGATATCATAACTAAATCCGCTCTTGATGATGATATCAATTTTGAAAAAATTTGCAAAAAGGTATGTCTGTGGGAGACATGAGGTATCAGTGTGGAACACCTTATATTGCCTCTTAATACTCGGTAGTTAGCTCCTGGCATTCACCTCCAAAGTCTTTTGGCCTGCTCCCTCTTTCCCATCTCCACTACCAAATTTTAATAGCTAAATACATGAAATAGTGGAAAGTATTTTAAGAAATAACTTACATTACTACTAAAAATTTAGTTTTTTGTTTTGTTTTTGTTTTCTTTTTCTTTTTCTTTTTGGTACCGGGGTAACCCAGAATTCATCTCTTCTTGTCTGTCACAAATGCCCAGTAGCTTTGCATTGTTAAAAGGAGTGTTTTGTTGTTCTTCTTCTTTTGTTGAAAGACTTGTCCTCTCCTCTGCCTACTTAAAATGTATGTCAAGTTTCTAATATTAAACATCAATTTCTACTTCTTGTCTTTCCATTTATTTATTTTTAAGAGACTTTTTTTGTTTACTTACTTTTATTTTATGTGCTTTATTGCTTTTGCCTGCATGTCCCCGGAATTAGAATCACAAACAGTTGTGAGCTGCCATGTGGGTGCTAGGAATTGAACCCAGGTCCTCTGGAAGAATAGCCAGTGTAGTTAACTGCTGAGCCATTTCTCCAGCCCCTCCATTTATTTTTTTATGATTGTTTTTCATATGCTATATTATATGTTCACTAAGGACCTAGAAACATTCTGTGTTTGGAATGTGTCTTTCTTTTCTCATCTCTATTAAAGAACATACTTACAGAATCAGAGAATTATTTTGGCTCAGAAATTAAGGCGCTATTGTACACTGAGATGGATTGTTGGAGGTATAGAGTTTAATACGAGAGTCTAATAGCATAGATAGCCAGATATACAACAGCATGATGCAGTCTCTAAGGAGAGTGCAGACCCTGGCATCAGATAGAGATAGCATGGCAGGGTCTCTTATGAGAATTCAGAGCCCACATGTCAGGAGGGGGAGTCTCTTACCTTTTCTGAGGATGGAGTGATTTCACAGCACAAGCCTAGAGCCAGGTACTTAGATGTTTCCCAGGCCAGAATCAGGTAGGTGGAGGAGCTGGCTCTCTGGTCACTAACACCTCCTTTGATACATATTCCGCTGTTAAGAGATCTGTACATAGGAGTCTGTTAGCCAGAGTCTCACCCAGTGCCTCAGTAGCATTTAAGTATCTAAACAGGAAAAGGGTGCAGCTGCTGCTGCTGCTGCTGCCGCCAGACTCGAGCATTACGTTATAATGTCTATCTATCCATCATGATGTAGAAGGCATGGTAGCTAGGGTTGCTCCATCTATGGCACTGGCTTCCTGTGAGGCTTGGTTACATTCTGATGGATGCAGAAGCAGAAACAATGTGGATACAGGCAGAAGTATAACTCCAAGCCCTCACTTGATGGTACCAATAGGCCTTACTTCCCAAAGGATCCTTAGCCTCCTGAAACAGCTACTAACAGGGACCAAGCAAGCATTTGATATTGGAAGAAATTTCATATTCGAGATACAACATAGGACTAGTAAGTGTAGAGATTGGTCCACTTCTGAAATTAGGACCTAAGGAAGATATAACTGGGGTTTAATGTTAGCTAACGGAAGGTAAACACTAGCCCCTCAGTGCAGATCTAACAGGTTGAGTACTGATGAGCTCTTCCCTTTCAAGCAGACAAAAAATGTCCCGAGCTAAAAATTAAACTACTACTTTTTAACAATTTTTGAAGAGTAGCATGAATGGTTAAAATTACCATGTAATGCTCAGCCATCTATCACAAGTAGATAGATGTGCTGTCAAGTAGTTCGTGGTAAGCCTCATTTCACTTTTTTTGTTTTGTTTTGTTTTGTTTTTCGAGACAGGGTTTCTCTGTAGCTTTGCACCTTTCCTGGAACTCACTCTGTAGACCAGGCTGGCCTCGAACTCACAGAGATCTGCCTGGCTCTGCCTCCCGAGTGCTGGGATTAAAGGCTTGCGCCACTGCTGCCCGGCCCATATTTCATTTCTACACGACTCTTTATATACACCCAAAGTGTATAAAATTCATTCTGTTATTTTTCTCTCCAGTGGAAACACTTCATTTGTCTATTTTCAGGATTTAAATTAACAATTTTAGTTGTGTTCAGATGTAATATAATTGATACTTAAAATGTTTTGTTATATCCAAAGTATTGTGCAGGGTTTTACCACAATTCATTTCATCAGCCAAAAAAACTATTTTGAATACTTTAAAATGTTTTGTTATCTCCCAGTTATCATGTAGGGTTTTACCACAGGTCATTTGACCAGCCAAATGAACTATTTTGCATAATCTTCCTTAAAGTTTTACATTAATTTAAAGGAGAATTCCTGGAAATAAGCTGTGTCTTCAGAAAGTAATGGAATAAAACTAGAGTGTTTTGGAGAGCTTGGAATGTCACAGACCCAGAGACTAATTACTTTATCTCAGCAAGTTCCATGGCCCCTGAATAATTGCTTCCCCTTCTCTGTGTCAGAACTAACATCCTGGGACTAACAGATACAAACCGTTGGAACCCATTAACTTAGCTCACTGCTAATTTCCACAAACCAAAAGCTGAGAATGTGAATGGATAGCTTCTTAGGCTATAGGAAAGCTTCCCTCTCTTGCTGTGACCACATTTCTGATGTGCCCACTATTGTATTTTAAACTTGCCTTGATTTATGAATTTCTTTGTTCTGTAAAACTATAAAATGTCATGAAACTGCTTCCATGTTGGAATATGGAATTTGTGGTAACCTGAATCATTGTTCTTGGGCCATGGTCAGTTAAATCCAGAATAAACTCTCTTACTCTCTTTAAGGTGGAAGCTGTGCATTGACAATAGTAACTTGTTGATTTATTTCTTTAGATAAAATTTAGAGTTCAACTTAAGCCCAGTTTATTATTAACAAGTGTTAATACTCATATTCTTGCTCTCCTATTGGGTTTATGACTTAACATTTAAGTTGGTCTGTCCATAAGGAAGCTTTCTCTTTTAGATACTTATTTTCATCCAGAGTATATTTGAAGAATTCTTTTCAAAATTGAATCACAAATGCCTTTGTGTTGATAATAAATACCCAAATGCCAAAATAAAATTGTTCCATTTAAAGATCGAGGTGTTTTCCACCTTTTGTTTAATTTATTTGAAATGGAAGAAACTGGAGGTGTGTGAAAAACCACAGTTTCCTGAGAATTTTCCATGGCAAACATTGTGTCAGTTTTAAATAAGGAAAGCTGTGGTTTCCTTCATCCAGACTAACCCTGGGAAGGCTTTGCATGCAGCTATCAACCCTTCAGAGACTGCAAAACCCTGCATCGCTGCACAGTGGATAATGCGTCACAGGGTCTGCTCCTTTTGTGTCCCTGTGACATTGTCTCTCAGATGAATTTTATCACTTCTGCTCTGGATTAGTCACTTGTAAACTAGAGTCACAACAGTTAGTCAGTCAATGTATAGAGGCAGTAGAGGGAGGGCAGGCCTGCGGCGGGGGTATTTGTTCCTTTGAGTTCCTGCACTGAACACATGCCGGTACAAAAGACGAGCAGCCAAGAGAAGAAGCCTGTGCCTGCTGCTGCTGCTCACAAGCCTTTGGCCTGGATTTGGTTGTTTCACTAATGTTTTTATTTCTTCTCTTTCTAAAAAGATTTAAAGTAGACTTTTAGTGCAGAAATTATTTGCAGTTAAGTCACAAATGATGTGTGAATTAGAGGAAAACTTGTGGGTACATAATAGACCAAATTCAGTTTGAGTTCCAGTTTGTTCCTACACAGCTAAATTAAATGATCTTGAAATCGAGTGTAGATTGTAGAAAGGAGCTCTTGGCCTATAGTCTTTTGTTAGTATTTCAATTTGAATTTTAAAATTTAAGTGAAGCATTGTCTAAGGAAAATCTTAATAAATGTTTTAGAAGTTTGAGATGTTAAGTTTGCTTTCTTGGGAATAAAATTAAAGAAATGTTTGAATTGTTAAATTGTACCTTCTTAGGAATAATCTGTCCTGGCACTATTTTTATTCAAATTAAACTGTAAGGTGTTCTGTAGTGTGTGATGAAAGAAAAGCTGCAGAATCTTTGAGCACCTAGAAGGAAACTAGACTGAGGACATGGAAATGGCTGTAGGAGAAAACGGGCTTGAGAGGCACTCTAAAGTCTGTTAGACGTACAGATCAGTCAGATCCCAGGTGGAGCTTAGAGCTGGGGTGTGGAGGAGGTTGGCCCCATGGGTGTGCAAAAAAGTAGCATGTGTTGTCAGTATCTTCATTTGTAAACACAGTAAGTGCTGCAGAATTCTATGTTCCTATCTAGTCCTCAAATATTTGTGAAGTGTTGGGAATGAGCTAGGTACTTGTTGCGTTCTGGGCACACACCAAGGATAGAAGACATTCAAAATAAGAGAGAGAACGTTACTCCAGGTCTTCATTAAGTGAGACTTCAAACATTGCTGTCATCCTAACTTAGCTGAGCACTAATACAGTAGTTGAGTCTTTCTTATTAACTTCATTTTCTTAGACATCTAAGCTCTTTGATAGTAGAAGCTATGATTCTTTTTTTTCCAAATTTATAACCCATGATATCTAGCACAATTCGAAGTTTTTATAGACTTAAATTGTAACATTTTAATTACTCAAGATCAGTTATGTTTTTATCAGTGTGATCTTTGTGTTTAGATTACATAAGTAACCTATCTAGAGAGAATATTTGCAAATTCTGTGACCTAACTAATACATACAAAAGATTGATAGATTTCAGTTTAATCGTTTCCAGTAGTGCCAGGTTAATATTGATGCTCTATATTTATTGCTTTCATTTGCAGCCAGATTCAACTGCAACTGAAAGAGCAATTGCCAGGTTAGCAGTTCACCCTCTTCTGAAGAAAAAAATAGATGTGCTAAAAGGTATGAGTTAAATGACAAGTCAGTATGCTAAATGCATTTAGGTGTATGATTTTGGATAGATGATTTCATTTATTTTAATGTATATAACTGTGGACATGTGTCTGCAAGTATGAAAGATGTTTGATATAAAAAGATTAAATCTGTACTTTTTTAAATAAATTTTAATATGTATTATATGTAAAAATATATAAAATATATATACAATTATGTTGAATATTTGATGTTTTAAATATTGATACAGCTCGTACTGTCATATAATTTTTATATATCTTTTATAAAATATATTTATGAAATTAAGTACTTTGTCAAAGACTAAATACCACTTTATTTTATGCCTGAAAACTAATTCAGTGGCATTAACACAAAAGTTAATGTTGTCATTTTATTGTTTTCAATGATATTTTTATTCTTTATAATTCAGAGATATGAAGAAAGTAATTTTCTTTTCATTTTGCAGTTTAAGATGGCTGTCTCCTAATGTGCCTTGTGAATTTGGTGTTTAAGTAATGAAAAGATTTCTTTGTGACCTCAGACTCCTGTAGATTGCAGTTGTCCTCTTGAATGTTTCCACATAGCTGAAGCGGCACTGTGTGGGGACAATGACACTTTGTATGTGCCAATGCTGAAACAAGTCTTGCACTCTCTGCCTTGCAGCTGCCGTACAAGCCTTCAAAGATGCCAGGCACCATGCTCCTGAGGCTGAGTCATCAAAGGATACTTCAGAAGAAAGCCAGTGCAAGGATACTCTGGGTTCAACCGATGATGCAAGGCAGTTACAGCATCGTGAGAGAACTGTTGTCAGTGAGCAGAGAGGAAAAGATGCCAAAACGGTAGCAAAGAAAGCAGGAAGTGATTCCAAAGAAAAAATGGCCAAGAGAGAAGATGGACCCAAAGCAGTGGCCACTCCATGTTCTCCAGGGATGCCTTCAGGAAAGGGTGCTGTGGTTACCTCTGCACCCCAGAAGGCACCTGCTGACTCAAACCAGAAAGTCTCAACCAAAAGCACACAGAGAGAGAGTGAGGGCCCCCGTGGCGGGAACAGTGACAGTGAGGAGGAGTTGAGTGAGGAGGACAAGGAGTACTTCGACGACAGCACTGAGGAGAGGTTCTACAAACAGTCTTCCATGTCCGAGGACAGCGACAGCGGCGATGACTTCTTCATCGGAAAAGTGAAACGGACACGAAAGAAGGATGGTAGTGTCCGGTCCTCGGCGAAGGACCAGAGGCCCCTCCCAAAGATGTCACCTAAAACACATACGCTTGAAACCAATTGGGGTGTAAGAAATGATCAGCACAAGCTGATTCCAGAAGCCAGGAAGTTAGAATCCGTGTTTTTTCACTCTTTATCTGGACCTAAAAGCTCCAGAAGGTAAGGCCATGTTTTTATTCTGAACTGATTTAGTTCATTTGTTTACTGTATGAAGTGGTTGCGTATCTTCACAGTATGAGAGAAACTCCTCATCAACCTGCTTTGTGTCAGCCCTGCTGGGTTTTGCCTGGTGCTCTCTCTCCGCCTTCATAATGGGGAGCATGTGGACATACACACACCGTAGTGACACACTGCCCAGCTTCACGAGAAGAAGTCCATTCCAGCCAAGTGACACAGCTGGGTAGTTTAGGGTTTGTTCTTTCTCTTATCAGGGTTCCAAAATTTAGATTGTTTTTTATGAAAAGCTTTAAAAAGTTTCACATCTGTCTTGATGAACAAAATTTTCTGATACATTTGTGATAACCTACTACCATTCCAGACATGGCTCCTTCCATGTTTCAGTGCATGAGGCTGCCTTTCTCCAGACCGATTGATTTTGGGATACTGCTCTTCGTCTCTGCTGATAGCTACTTTTCATAGCTGGTCTGCTGTAAAGTTTCATTTCATTAATCATTTTTATCTGGTAGAGAATACTGATGCAGTTTTATGTAGAGGCTGTGACTGTCAATAATGACCCTTTTTTCCTGTGTACTTATTGGTCAGAGGTACTCTTTAATCAAAGAATACAATGTAAATATTTTTTCTAAATCTGGCATAGAAAAGAACTTGAAACAACTTTAAAACCTTGAGAGTAATTAAAATATTTACCTGTCTAACTTAGTCGTACCCAAAAGGTTTCTAGATTTTTCGTGGTTCTGCACCAAAAATGTAGGCATTAATTTTCATTATGTGTAAATCATTCTCCCCTTGAGAAAATGTTTGAAGTTTTTTTATGTAGACAGTGTCCAAGAGCAAGACAGTGAAAATGGATTATTTCTATTTTAGCAGAAGTCCCTGTGTGAGTGGAAAGGAAGGTGTGTGTGTGTGTGTGTGTGTGTGTGTGTGTGTGTGTGTGTGTGTGTGTGTGTGTGTGTGTGTGTGTGTGTGTTTGGCTGTTGGTGGAGTGATCAGGTGGATGCAATGCATCCTGAGGATGAGCTTTATCATCTACTCCATCAACAGAAGATTTTATTTGTCTTATAGCTCCTAATGCTGTTGTCTTTTTCTTTCTTTCTTTCCTTTTTAGGGATTCCAGAGAACAGGCCCCAAAGAATAAAGCTCCAGGTATGTACTGATGACTGCTCAGACTGACAAGCAATACTTTGCCACAGTGAGAGGATGGAAATTGTCGTCTTCTAATAGTATTACTGAATTGTACCCAAACCGTGGAAATGCAGTGCCGTAGCATTTTCAAGATCATTTCTTTCTTCTTTTTAAAGTGGTTAAATTACAATAATCCATTTTCCTAATGGGTTCCTTTTGGCTTGTTTTGTCTCCCATTGTTAGCAGAACTGCTTACTCTGTTGATGTTACTGTAAGAAAGATAGACTCAGTAAGAAAGTAAGCTTTCAAGATTAGCTCCAAAATAACTCCTTGTGGAAGTTTTTACCCTGAAGCTGTTTTCTGTTGGGTGTCAGCTTTAAATTATGACATATTTTGTCTAAGTAAAATGAGATTCTTCTTTAGTAATTGGTGTAAAGAGATGAGATCTGTCCTGTTCGGGGGATATGTAGTTGTAATTTTTGCTTTCTCTTCCCAGATTTTCCAGAAGATGAACTTCCAATCAAGAGTCAGTTTACAAAGAGTGCAGGAAGACGGTTTGAGAGTGGGAAGCAGCAGGAGCCAGCTCCTCTGCATCCTTCATGGGAAGGTGAACCTCCAATCAGGAGTCAGTTTACAAAGAGTGCAGGAAGACGGTTTGAGAGTAGGAAGCAGCAGGAGCCAGCTCCTCTGCATCCTTCATGGGAAGCTAGCAGGAGGCGGAAAGAGCAGCAGTCCAAAATCACTGTCTTTCAGGGGAAGAAAATCACATTTGATGATTGATTGCTTACTGCTTTCCTGAGCTTTCTGTCAAAAGTTTTGTTATTTTTATTTTTTAACTAACCTATTATTTAAATAAGTCTCTTTGAAAGAGTTATAAAATATATTGCTTGTTTTTCTTTTTTTGTGTGATTTTGGGATATGTTTACATAATCTTTTACAGATCTCTGAATTTGTTTCTTAAGAGTGCTTGCTCCAAATTATTTCTTCTATAAGATAATTTAGAGATTGCCATCCATGATTATGAAATATATTTCACTAGTTCAACTTTGCCTGTTGCCTTGAAAATGAGGCAAAAACAGGGCTGATGAGATGGCTCACTTCCTGCAAAGCCTCCAGACCTGATTCTGACCCCTGAGGTTCCCATGGTGGAATGACAGAACCAACTCAAAACAATTGTTCTCTGCACGTGCACAGTGTGGCACATGCGTGTGTATGCACACACTCACACAATAATGTCAAAAAATGTAAAGATTTAAAATAATAGTGGAAAAATGAATCATGACTACTCAAAAATAGATGTATTTGTTAGAAGTTATTTTTATAAGCAAAACAAATGGTAATTTTTATTGTGGTTATAGCGATAATATAAATTAAATACTAATTTTTCAAACTTGTAGTTACTTATGACCTTATATGTGTAGTGTTTAAGCAACTTGTTTATGTATAGTAATCAAAATGAGTTCTGCATATCCCTGCAATAAGTATTTCCATTAAATGAAGAATGGTTATCTAGAATCCTAGTTTCTTCTGTCCACTTTGTGTTAACAAAGAGCAAGTACTAGATACAAAATGTTGGTGATAAAGAAAAGAAATGCATGATGTCTAGTTATTTTAGCCATATGTTGCTTTTGGGGGGCACAGTACTGGGAATTGAACCTATGCATCCTAGGTCTTCTGCATGCGCTCTCACTGAGGAACTTGCTGTGTGGCTCAGGCTAGCCTTGGATTTTACTTTCCCCAGTGCTGGGAAGGCAGGTGTTCCACCACACCTTGCATTGAAATGTTTGTAAAGAGTCCTCAATGGTTAACTTGAAGGATAGATTCTAGAAGAAGGTGGGATTGGACTGGCTGAGTAGAGGAGCTGTGACTCCTAGAGAACCGTCTGTCTACTTCCTACAGTACTCTAAAGGAAGAGGACTTTTTGTAAGGTCTTTAATCATGTGCCCTTTTACTACTGTGGAAGACATGAAAGGTCATTGGTTAAAGAACGCTTACTGAATTCCATGTTGCCTTCAGCTTAGTGCTATTAGAAGAAGGTAAGGCCTTCCACTTAGCCTGCAAACCAAGCTACCAAGTCCAGGTTCTGTTTTACAAGCTTAGGAATGTGAGTAGCTAGAACAGTGGAATTCAGATTTTGGTGTAGATGTGGGGGTTTTTTGCTTCAGTCTGTACATCATTCCATGTGTGTGTGTGCACGTGCGCATGCACACACACACTGAAAGAAAAATGTTTGTGTGTACCTCAGACTTACTCAAACTAAAGTTGGGAGTGCTTTTAACAGATTTGCTAGTCTGCCTGAGTGTTTCCCCAGCTAGGAGTCAGAGATGGTCCACCTAAGAGTTAGAAGCCAACTTTACATTTACTGCTAGTTTGTTACATGGAGACTTTACAGTGGCAGTGAATTATCTTAGACCCTGGTTTCCTCCTGCTTTGCTGCAGTGACTCCAGATAGACCAGCTGCTGGTGTAGGGTAGGACTTCTCAGTTACTGATGACTGCTCTTACTATCTGGAGATGTTGAGGTTATTCCATGAAAGGTACTACAGCTATCAGGTATAGTCTAGACACACTGCTGAATTCTGTCTAACAGTAAAAATTCTTTTTTTTAGCCTAAAATATTATGATTCAAAAGTTGAAAAACCCTGGTTTATGTAAGCTCTTATCACCTTACTATAATATTGTTCCAGTACCACAGCCTGATTTCAAGTCTTCCTGTTGTTAGGATCACAAACTGCCTGGGCCTGTGTGAGCTCCTATACATTGCATAGACTGACCTACCAGATCCTTGAGGGAACCCATCTGCAGATCTTTCTAGATCCTTCCTCATCAATGTTTAGCCTCACAAGTTCTCTTGACATTATCATACCTCGGACTGTTCAGTGGGGAGACATACCTATATTCTGTAATATCTTGCCCCAAGAGTGGTCTCAGTATTAGTTGGCCCCCGTGCAGAAAGCAAAGTCAGCCACTTAGTGCTGGTGTGGTTCTTTTTCTCTAACGTGCAGGCATATGGTCTTAAAACTTAAAGCTCCTGTCCAAACTCCTGCAACCAACTTTCTCTGAACTCGGGAGTTAATCGGGCTTGCGGTAATCTGGGGAATGTTTGTGTTAGAAACTACCAAGTCTTGATAAGACAGTGATGGTTGTCACAACTTAATTTGCCCATCCCTACTATAGACGCATGGTAGCCTTGACAAAACCCATTATATCAGTGACTACCAGCCTGGTAGCCACTGGAAATGAGCTTGCACATCGACAGGGCCATTCCTAAGAATTACCTAACTGGATGGTTTTTCTGGAAGTCACCTACTTGCCTTTGTTTGGTGGAAGTGAGAGCTTGCTTAGCTTGATAACATTATCCCCTAAACTAGCTCTTCAGAAATACTGTCAGTTTGACATTAAGGCTGCCTTAGAGAGTAAAAATCTGTTGAGGTAAATAGTACACTAACCAAAGCCTAGAGGGAAATCTGAAGAAGGTAATGTCTGCTCGTTGAGGCTTTAAAAGTTTCTGACATTTTCTAAGAGTCAGATAATGTACAAGTGTGGATTCTGAGTGCCTACTCAGGACCAGGCTGGACCACTCTCAACTCTCACCAGGGGAGATCACACCCCTGTGGGTAAGTGATGAAAGCATGTCTGGGCAGATGTTCAACAAGTATTGCTTCAGGCGTTTAAGGGAATATATCAAGTTAGCACAACACTAAGCTACATGAAGCAGACCGCAGTGGCCTTATACAGCAAATACAGTGGAACTCAACTCCACAAGAATAATTCAGAAACTATCACCAGCCTTAAACAGGCATAGGGGACTGATTTACAAGTATTTTATTGTGTCAAGTTTTCAACAAAATGAGATATACATAAGGTGTGGTCCAGTACACCAGGAGGCAGGAAGCGGCAATAAGCAGAAATTGAGGAAGGGCAGATGTTGAACTTAACAAAGACCCTGAGTAAGCTAAATTAAATATATTCCTACCTATAGGACACTTTAAAAAGACAAGAGAAAGCATAGTCTAGCCTAAAACTACAGATAATGAATTAGGAATTATAGAGAAAGGTATTATGTGCATGCCTGTGTTGTAGCACTCAGGACTGAAGTAGGAAGATTGAAAATGAGGTTAAGCTAACTCAGAAAATTCTGAAGTTAGAAAGTGCAATTACCAAGTTAAGTTAAGAAGGGTTCCTATGTCAATTGAGATTATGCAGTTTGAAGAATAGGGAATAAAAGACCGAGGGGCTTAAGAGAAGGCTCAAAAGTTAAGAGCACTTGCTGTGTGATTATGGGGACCAGAAATCCCAGCACCCAAGAGAAGCTTGGCGTCCTGCCAAAGACCTCTAACTCCAGCTCCAAGGGATCTGACACCCACTTCTGATCTCACTGGACACACACAGTCTCATTCACACATTCATGCATTATATACACATTAAAAAACAAACAAAAAATGGGATTTTTATGTAACCAGAGTTCACAGTCAGCTGTATTTCCCAAAGATTAGGAAAACATCCACATCAAAACTTAAACATGAACATTCATAGTGCAAATAATAGCTACACAACCGAAATATCTAAACAAACAAAAGGTGATCCTTACATGCAATGAGATATTAATCGGCCATAAAGAAAAATGAGGTTACCTTGGCTTGGGTGAACTGTGAGAACATGCTGACTGAATGAAACCTCTTGGATCAGTTATCTGTCCCTGTATATCACATTCCGTGCTTTGGTGTAGTAGATAATAACCACCAAACAGTCTTTTGGAAATGATGGGCAGCTAGTCTACCCACCATTCGGTACCAGTTTTGCGATGCATAGTTCATCCAGCCTCCTTGGTTTTCAACATGCTCGGGTTAGCCACAAAATACTCCAGTTTCCATTTTATGTCTCCTCTTGGCCTACTTAGTCAAAACACCAGGTCATAAGACAAAAGGCCAGAACATGAAAGGAGTTTGTCATGCAGGGCACTTCATCTAGACGAAGTTCCACATAATTTGGAAAGAAGTATTACCAAGTCAGTTTCATTGCCCATGTTGAAACTTTTTCCTGTCAACCAGTACGGTGCTTTATAGAGTAAGTATCCATGAACAAATTGGTTCAATTGAAATTCAGTCTAGAGATTGTTTCTTATCTCTTCGGTTACTTCATAACTAATTGTTCTAGTGGTATGAATCATAATATAAATATTTTTGGAGATAGAGGTTTGCCAGGGGGTCGTGGCCCACAGGTTATCACTGCTCTAGAGCAACCCCATCTTCTACATCTGTTAGAAGCAAGCCAGATCATAGCCTGAGGCTCCTAGGAGATGGCTGTACTTCACTAGATCTGTTTCTCCCACCACCTACCTCACTTCTCTGATGGAGTCAAGGAAAGTTCATTTTTTAATGTACCCATTCATATTTTTCTAATCTCAGGTTCCATGTCCGAGTTTCATTGCTACCACCTCATTTATGTTATAGACATAACATAACTTGTTATATGTAATCAAGTTCCTAAGTCACTACAACCTTCCTGTCTGCTTTAAGCCTTGCTTAAGAGAACCTACCCAGTGTGGGGGAAAAAAAATCTGTCATAAGCCTTGAGCATCCCCACCAGCTTGTTCAGCGTACTAAGAATGCCAGGACCACTTAACTTTTCACCATGTTCATTTCTCAAGCTGCATTTATGCTGACCAATCATGAGGGATGGACAATATCTCCCTAGCACAAAATGTTCCCATCCTCTAGTACAATCCGCTGCATGTACAAGAGTCTACAATGGTTCATTGTGTTTCCTCTGCAGGACTTTGGACAATATAGGCGTATAGGAAAGGTCACCATTAGGCTCGGGTTACCCAAACTTTGCACATTCCCAAGATTTGCCTATCTTCCAGACTGGTTCTTTTGGGAAGCAAGCTCTGAACTAACATTCCTGCCTGAAAAGAATTGTTTGTATATGTAAGAACTTGGGCCATCGAATACTTACTTGATCAGATAGTGTGTTTAGCAAAATGATTTACGAGTATCTGTGTACCCTGGAGAAACAGGCTAAATAGCAAAGGTCAGTCATGAAAATGTCTGAGTTGGGGGGGAGGGGGCAGGGAGCGTGTAAAACTGACCCAATAAAAACCTAAGACACCAAGGGTCAGGTGAGCATGCTTGCATTGTCTATCATTATAAGGAGAAGGAAGCACAACCTGAGAAAAACCTCTATTTTGGATCTCTCTTGTCTGCTTCCTAGGAGATTAAATTTGTATTACAAATTGACAATGTGATCAATGAGTTACTGCTAGAAAAAAAATTTATGTTTTTCTCTAGAAGGCTGAAGCATGAATTGCTGAGGTTAGTCAGGCTGGCAATGTGCACCTATGTGACAGAATCCCTATTTAGAAGGGAGGGAGGGAGGGAGGGAGGAGAGAGAGGGGGGGAGAGAAGAGGAGAAGAGAATGAGAAAAAGGAGAAAGGAAGAAAGGAGAGAAGAAAGCCCTCATCACTGGGATCAGATGAACTTCTCAGACTAACATTTCATACTTGGGATGTCATT